GTTTTAAACTTGCCAATTACAAGTGGCCGCAGCTTCGTGCTTCCATCCATATTGGCAGCCAATAGGACCGTCACACGGGCTTCGCCTTGCTTGCTTCCGTGGCATTTGTCCCTGCGAGTTTCCAGCGTTTGCCGCGGAAGCATTTGCCAGAAAATGCCCGTCTTGTCAGCATTAAAGTTTTGCTTCGGCTCATACTTGGCAAGAACTTTGGACCACTCGTGATAAGCCACTTCTGAATTTTTTCGTCATTGGCGTCCTCACTCTCTCCCGACACAGTCTTCCCGACAATGTTGAAGCGAGCCTTGAAACGTTGCAGCCAACAGCTACTAGCACTGAAATCCTCGGCGCCGAGAATGAATGCAAAGTTTTTTGCCTTCTGCTGCAACATCGGCCCCGATACAGGAATATTTCGGGCCCTTGCATCGATGAACCACTTGTGAAGCAACTTCTCAACATCTTCAAAATCAACTTTGCGTTGACGCTGCGCGCCTGAGTGCTGGCTCTTCTCGGCCTAGGCCTTTATGTTGCTTTTGTTTTTGAGCAGGGTACTCAATGTGCTCCTTGGTATGCGAAACTCATCCGCGACGCTCGACTTCCTCTCGCCATTCTCGACGCGCTGTATTGCTCAAAGAGGCTAAGGCGTTCGTTTCTAGCTGGACCCCAAGCTTCTCCATTACTGCACGTATGATAAACATTGGCAGTGGGAAGCCGAGCACATCTGTGAAGTCCAGCGGCTCATCATCAGTTGATGAGGCTTGAGTTGTGTTGCCGTACATCGCCCACTATCTGCCTTCGCGGTACAGTCGACGTTTTGAGTCCACGCAATTGATGACTCTGTTGTTCGTCACCAGCGGGACAAGGGCCTTGATGGATGTTGTCATTTCAGACGAGGGTGTGAGTATCCCATTGATCATGGCCCAGTTGGTACCACTCGACAAATAAGCACCCCATGTCACCCCGGCCAGCAGCAGAGCATTACCACTTAGCCAGAATGACAGAGCGCTCGTGCCGAGGGACCACTGATGGTGTGCCCGACTCGATCAGCTGGAGTGCACGCGCAATGCGCAGCTCGTGGTCTGCTGTACTGACCACAACTGAATACGAGTCGCACACGAAACCACGTGCGTGGGGCCACACCCCGCCGAGGTAGCCTTCTGCCACCGCCATTCCCTCTGCCAACATCCCGGAAGGCGAGATGGTGTACCTTCGGGCCCATTCAAGTTGACCACTGACTACGTCAGGGTCATCAAAGTCGTACTGTTTAATGCGAGGCCCGCGCACTCCGAACCGTGCACCTCCGATCATTTCATCTCCAAAACACATCAGTCCCTGGCTGCTACTTCCCTCCCCACTGACGACTGCCCCGAGATGGAAACCCCGCGACAGTTCAGTCGCGAGGTTCAAGGCCGTGTCGTAGACGCCGTGAGTACCTATCATTGTGTTCATCATCGCGAGCGCCTCGTAGGCGTCGCGCTGTCGGCCTGGGGGGGTGCCCCTTGTTCTGGATCTGCCGATCCACCGGTCAACGATGGCATTGCGCACCGTAGGAAACTCCCCGGGCCCTGCCCTTGCAGACCTTCCGAGAACCGGCACCCCAGGCCCTTCTCCCAGGGCAAACCACACCTCGTCGCTTGGGTGCACCACCACGTTCACAACCACAATCAACAAACCCCGCCCACCACTGCCTTACCTGCATGGTGCAGACAGTCGATCCGTTTCATGTCGTCGCCGGCAGTGCCAACTTCGAAACATTCAACGTTGTACCCAACTCGCTGGGTCCAGTAGTTTGTCGAAAGAAAGCTGAGGAGGTAGGGGAGCAAAGCCCGTGACCCGCTATATTCCATTTTCACAGGTACAACGGCCACTGAGCTGTCCCACTCGTCGGCATAGAGTGCCCTGTTCCACTGATAGGTTGACTTACGCGTCATGAGGGCGGTAAAATACGACAGGTCGACCGCTGCGATGATCCCCTCAGGCACACACGCCCCGTAGTTTCCCACGTGACGTTCGACCTGGTATGTGCAGGCGTCGACTGCCACTACTGACGCTACATGTGTCAATGTTTTTATGGTGTCGCCGGAGGCGACAATTTCACTGAGCAGCATGCACCTTAAGTATGCTGCTTCATCTAATTTAGTGCCCGCTGAGGATCGGAGCGCCTCCACTATTTGTGCCACAGCCTTGGTGTCCAGCATGGCCGGGAATTCAAAAAAGCGGCTCGCTTGGAAGTCACCGACCGGCTTGGACAACACGTCGGCTATGGCACGGAACCTTTCTGTCGTTTGGGCGCCAACCACACCCGTCCTCAACTGTCTATCCACGCGCACATGGCGCACTTGTGTCCTGTTCGTCCAGGAGGAGTAGGTGTAGTATCGTCCTTTCGCCGGCACGTCCCATCTCAGCGTCACTGGCATTAAAGGGTCTGCCCAGCTCCACGGCGTGATGTCGCTAGGTGTCTTTGCGACACTTTGATGCGACATCTGGTACAGGAGCGGGGGGTCCCCACAATTTACGTCCATTGCTTGCGGTAAGAACTGCTCCCAATATGCCTGGGCAGTGTGTAGAGGAGTAGTCTGTGAATCGTCTGCGGTTTCATGATTTTGTGACATTTTCAATAAAGTAGGTATGCATTTTTACGTGTGGCCTACCCAAGTCACACAACCAGTCAGACGAAGGCCCTGGTGCCTGTTTTTGCCCCTTAAAATAAAAGACCGAATCAGAAAGAGTTAATTTTGCCCCATACCCCCTAATGGAGAAGTGTGTCTGTCACCTCTCCAGAAAACAGGGTTGCTTCCCCGGTCACCCAGCTACGTACTGAGGCGATGACACTGTCTCTGTCCCAACCCCGTGGCCCGCCCAGTGTCGACATTCCGCTGAACATTACTTTCGCGACCGCACTAGTTGCCGCTATGGAATCCTCAAGAACTGCGAGGGTCTTCCTTACCAGGTCATCCCCTCTGTTCTCAGCAGTCGCCTTCTTCCCAAAAGGGGTATTAAGAACGCTGTGACAAAACACAAGCACACGAGAGAACACGTCGCGCATCCAAGGATGGCCGTGTGCTCTTGAAACTTCAGCCACGAAGCTCAGCGGCCTGTCGATACTGGTGTTGAATCTAACATGTTTTTTGTCAAATCGGCTCCTAATTGTTCCAGACCTGGGTAATTGGCCGCTAGACCATCATGAGCTATGGTCCGCACTACCATACCCACATCGGGAGCTTCCCACTTTGGATTAAATTTCTCCCCCAACCATAACCCCCCCTCGCCCATTGACCCCCTCCATGCCCCAATTTTTGTTGTGGGCCTGAGGCCAGCCCACTCACGGAAACGGCGCGTTTTCCCCTTGTGGCGCAGGCGGTTCATGAGGGATGTCTCCTCCGTCAGCACCAGCCAGCTCGACCTGATGTTTGGCCGGCTGCTGTTGGTTCTGCGCAGGCAACGGTCGGGCGCCACCTCTCGCGCCCCTCCCTCTCCCACCACGGCCCCGAGCTCCCGCCGCTGGCGGCCGAATGCCCATCAGGGTCACGTTGAGATCGGGTCCGTCACCCGGCCCCTGGTCGGCACTTTGTCGCCCACCCGCCGTTCCCGTTCCCTCTCCACGTACTCGTGGCCATTGTAGCGCCTGCGACGTGGCATGTCGCGCTCACGACCAACACTCGTGACCAACACTATCATCACGCTCGCGACCAACACTATCATCACGGCGGCGGGCGGTGCCAGCTAAGCGTTTTTCATCTGCGGCACTTAGGGGCGCGTCAGTCGAGAGTTGTTCGAGACCTGCAACTTTGCACCACTGTTTCGGAGGCTATGCAAAGTGTTGCGTTGTTGCACCGTCCGCCACAGGTGACGCTAGCAACCGAGAACATTTTCAAACTGCAGGAGAGAAAGGGTGTGGCAGCTGTTTTTTTTTTTTTTTTTTTTTTCTCATGCGGCAGGCATCTTCCTAGAGGAGGTGTTGGTACGGGGCAGCTGTTCCGGTACGGCACGGGCACGCCGTAAGTTTGACGACAGTCTCACGCAGTGAAGATTGGGAAGCTGAACGAAGGAACGAAACAACTAAAGCCACTAAGCTTTGCTTACTGGAACGAATTTGAACAAACCTGTTGTGGGTGACTACTGGCGGTGAACGGTCGTCGGGTGGATAAGCAGCGCAGAACATGGCAACGCCTAAAGGGGAGTGCAGCAAAAGCAGCAGCAGCGGGAACAGTGGCGTCGTAGTGACCGATGTACCGCCCAACGAAAGTGAGACACTGGAGGGTCGAGCTACGGCCATACAGGACAAACTGGACAACACTTGCTTGGATAATGCTCCTTGATGAGCAAATCCGCGACCTCAAACGCCTGTACATGCGTGCCCAGAAGAACAACAAGTATGCTTTTCGCTACAACATCTGCATGAAAGTGTCCATCGCAAGCAGCATAAAGATGATGTACTATCACTACCCCAACAACAAAGTGGCTAAGCTGGAGCGCATCACCACACAATTGGAAGAGGCGCGTTCAACGGCCAGTGACACCTAGGATGGCAACAAAGTGTAGCTTTGGCGTGTGGCATTTTTTAAAGTTTCCATTATTGATGTCCCGTGTTGCTGAGCAGTGCTCCGCTGGCAAGCGTTGTGCAGACTTCCTGAACAGTAGTTGTTCGTGAGTGTCTTGTGCAGTGTCGATTCCTTTTTCTTTTTTAACGTTTCTGCAAGAGAGCAAAGTCCAAAAAACTTCTTCGGCAACGACGCCACCTGCCTGCTTAAGACACCCGGCGACTTGAAAGGTTAAGCGCACGTGTCGGTGTCGAGGCTGCGTCTATGCATGGTTTTCTCTCGAAGCCTGCTTTATCATGAACTAAGACAGACCTCCTTATGAACGGTAGTGTTTGTGCTACGAGAAGGAGAATCCAGACGAAGCTGTGTAAGCCATCCGAACAACACGCCACTCACCTGGGCATAGCGAAGCTGTGTGGTAAAACAGTGACAAAAATCCATCTGATTTTGTATGATTGTCCCTTTTATTCTGGCTGTGTAATAAGTGAGATTTAATATGTACTTATCAGCCTAATATCTGATAGAGATCCTATTTGGATCCAAGATAAACAGATTTTTGTAATGAGGTTGAATGCTTGAAGCTTGCTTCACCTACGCCAAGGGTTGGCCCAGTATTGCACTTGAGGCTGACTCAGTTTCTCACTTGTCCCTTTAATAGGGAGGCAGTCGTAGAGCCAATTCCAAGGGCTGACGCATTGGCCCCCTGAAACGCAGTAGGAAAGTGCGGACAATTCAGTGTGGTTTTTTTGGTGTGCCAGTGAATGCTGGCTGCAGTCCGGACATTGAGTCGGAGCCAAGAGTTGATAACCAAACAAAATATATTCTCAGATAAGGCAAAACAAACAACATGCAAACGTGCACAAGTTTCAGTTACCAAATACGAATACTACTCGCAAGATACTCTGATACATTCAAAACAACGGGCGCAAGTAACTCATGCTGCAACGCAATCTCGTGCATGAAATATTCAGGAACACTCCAAGACTAGAATGTTCATCAAACGTATTCAGTCCAAAGTTCTTGGAACCAACGTTGAATGCTTTTCTTCCAGGAAACACTCGCATAATGTCCAGTGCTGGTTGTCGTCCTGCTGTGTCCAAGGTTTCTTTTACAGGAAGCACTCCTCAAAACTTTCCCACTCATGGCTTAGTCATTTGATTCTTCCAGACCGACTGACCGTCCTTGAATAACAAAACTTCCTCCCCGGCAACACCGTCGGCCACTCATGCACTGTCACAGTAGGACGGGCTTTCCCCGTCGGCGGAATCACGAACTGACTTCATCCTCTCCTGCGACTCCCTCGGATGCTTGCTTGTAGCCGCTGGGTTCTTAAACCGTCCAGGCTTTTCGTCGGAGCACAGCAAAGCCAAAGCTGGCAAAAGGGCGAGATTTTTCTTGTAGTTTCTATGCTCTGTAACACAACCCAACAGTGTAACCTTTTCTTTCTAGAGGGTTCTAAAGTTTGTTAAGAAATTAAAGGGGTAGAGGTACATTCGGTAGGTTTTCACGAAGCGATTCGTAACAGGTTTTCAGGGCCACCAGCCAGCGCCTAGACACCCCGCGGCACAGTCGATCTCGATCACGCGGGGGACCGTGGCACCAACTTCCTGGGTGGACACATTGTATCCAACTGATTGGGACCAGTACCGTGTTGTCAGAAAGCTTAACATTGTGGGGTCTCGGCGAGGCGAACGAGCGCATAGCCACGCCACGCTCTTGGAGTGAACGGACACAGCAGACGCGGTCAGTACAAAGCACACAAGATACATACATTTATTAACTAATTTAGACGACGATATCGTCCGCCGAATGATACACCAATTTCAACTAACACGCTACCATACAAACAACATAACGCAGTGACACACTAAACACACAATAACATGATAAACACACACTAACACACCGAACACACTAACACATACCCAGGGCGGCGTCGCCAACGCCCGACTTTCCACGCGGGACCTCGGCGCGAAGCCCACGGTGCCGAGCACCGGGGACCCGCACTACAGACAACCGTTTGCGGCAGCCGCCACGCGCAGAAGAGGCTCGCTCAACGCCTTCCCACCGCCAAGGCCTGCCTTCCGCCAGGGGCCACCGCCGGCGCTACCACTCTACCAACAGTGGTACTCAAAGCGAACACAACGCCATCTATCGCCCGGCGGTGGTCACCACTGAAACAAAGCCTTGGGGCGAGACACGTGCGCCACGCGGCGCAGACAACTTTACACACCCCCACAACATGTAGGGGAGCGCCGCACGGGACCCACTGTACTCCATTTTCGTTGGCACAACAGCTGTCAGGCCTCCCCAGTTGTCCAAGCCAAATACATTTCTCCCTGGGTATGTTGCTTTTCTTGTCATCAGCGCGGCAAAGAAGGTCAGGTCGACCGTAGCAATAGCTCCACACAGCGCGGCGTTGCCATACATACCCATGTGCCTTTCTATCTTGGTGGCAAACGCATCGATCGCGACCCTTGTCGCCACGTGCGTCATCTTTCTCATTTTGTCATCATTGACGATGACTTCACTTAACAGCATACATCTTAAGAACGCTGCTTCATCACGTTGCGTACCGGCGGATGATCTGACCGCCTCGACAAGCTGCGACACAGTCTTAGTATCCAGCATAGCCGGGAACTCAAACAAAGCGACTGGCTTGGAAGTCCCCTATAGGCTTGCTGAGCACGACAGCCATGGCGCGATATCTGTCGGTCACCTAAACCCCAAACACACCTGCCCTCAACTGTCGGTCATTACGCACATTGCATATGGGGCCAGCTTCTGTCCAAGAGGTCTGGTTGAGGTAGAGTGGACCTTCGCCGTTAGGCCACGACAACACTATCGGTATAAGTGGGTCCGCCCAGCTCCAGGATGTGATGTCGCTGGGTGTCTTGGCCACGGTCTTGTACACCATTTTGTCAAGACACGGCGGATCCACACCGTTCATTTCCATTACTTGTGGGAGACTTTGCTCTCGGTACGCTTGGGCAACTTGTAGTGGAAGGGACTTGTTTCGTCTACTTTTTCTTCGTTCTGTGACATCCTTCAGGTTAAGGGTGTGTGGTTTCTTGTGGAGGTGTGCGCTTTCTTGAGCACTCGTTTGTGATACAGTTGCAGTTCACCACTTGCACGTACTCAACGCAGTGGCTCATTGGTCGACACTCGGGACGCGCTGAATTGCCGGAAAAAAAAAAAATACACGCGGAGGCACAGGTAGGACACACACGATGTTCTCTGGTCAGATGTTGCTTTTAGCATTGTTGCCCCATTCGTTTCTATTTCTATCGTTCACCTCTATCTCCCACTTCTTATTTTTGTTCTGCTAACCCGCTTATGGGGCTCAACTCGGGAAAAACCGCATCTACTTATTGAGGACAAATTTCTTGAGATCTCTTTTGTTCTACAGGTAAAAATTGAGCCATGTACAAAAAATACCTGTATAGATTTTAACCGCTAAAGTGCTCTCAGCATACAAGTTAGCATGAACACGCACAGCGTGCAACATCACTTATGGTGACGTGGTCTTTCTTCAACGTTGCAAACGTTTCTATACATGTAAATTTCTGATGACTTCTGACTGATTGTGGGAGTTGTGCCTGACTCGCGTGTAGAACAAGTGCTCGTGTTAAAGCTCAAAAACTTTGTATGTGGAATATTCACCATGCTTGTTCAGTTGGCAGTCCTTGGTGTAAGTATGTCTCCAATGCAATGCCTCCAGAAGCACTGACATGCATACAATATATGTATGTCGGTGCTTTTTTTCTTTTAAATCTCGGCAACGGGGGTTGTCTGGCCAAAGTACGTACAAGGGCATGCTCAGTGTTCGGAAGCGTCCTCTACTACGGAACGCAGAGAAGAGTCCCCGTGCCGAGAGCTTACTAATGAGAAGGCAGTAGGACCATGTGAGTCGCCTGTGTGGTGTGTTGATGCCCTCTCCTTCTTCGCCCGCTTGAAACGGTGGTCATTCCCTGGTGTACGGTGAAACAACGCCAGCTTCCCTGGAGACACAAGATTGTTAGTAGATTAAAATCGTTGGCTGAAAAGCCAAGATCTTTTAAGGTGTCCAGACTCTCTTTGGCCCATATCCCCCTATACGATAATGTTATCTTAGAAACGATTGGTGGTACATCCCTTGAGACGAGAGCGCACAACTCCTGATGCATGTACTTGGTCGCTTTAACGGCGTGGGCATCTGACAGCTTTATCCTTCCTCCAACCACCTGCGCGTCTAAGACGGGGGCTTGGCCGTCTCTCTCTTCAACACGAGGTCGGGGATTTCCCCCGAGCTCGTCTTGTAGTGGGTTCGTAGTGGGGTTCCTCTAAGACAGAAAACCGCAACTCTGCATAGCGTTTGGCAACATATTTCACCAGCGCATCATGCCGTTGGATTCTGGTGTGATGTGTGCGATGGCATTTCTGCAATATGTGTTCGAGTTTCTTCTTGGGCGCACCATGCTCTGCATAGCTTAGTTACGCCCTGGCCTCGCTTAAGCCTCACCAAAGTAGGCACCGTGTTGAATCGGACTCTAACCGCATTAAAAAATTCCCTACCAGAAAGGAACCTAGTTCCTTCTGTCACCCATGCTGATGCTCCAGGAGCATTCACCAGTTATTTTAGAGCAGCGCCATCTGTGCTGCTAAGGAAGTATGTAGTCTAAAATTTTTTATTCGCTTTCTTGGAGCCTATTATAATTCCTTTGTATTGCAGCATGGCCTCTGACTGCCGCACAAGATCTTGGACATAAGTCATCTTGTGGGCCTTTTTGCAAGCTCTATACTGAGAAGCTGCTAGGGCATTTAATCAGCGTAAGCGTAGGTATTGAATGACAGTCCGTAAGCATGGAATACCCAGTCCGCCATGTGGGACCCTTGCATAAATGCTCCAAGTGGAACAACTTTCATGCTTTGTCGCGAATTTCCTCTTTTCACAAGGCTCTTCTTGTCACCATTGAGGGACTTCAGTGCCACTGGATGCTCATCTAGTCCTTCGTATGGGTTCGAGGTCTTTTGTTCCGAGTCGTGCCAATGTCGCACACTGGGTGGTTCAGAAAGCAAGGGATATTATTTGGCACCTTGGCGTCACATTTGCCATAGTTAACGCAACGGAAATGAAAACCAGGTGGTAATGACCTCTGGTTGAACGAGCAACTAAACAGGCTAAGTACAAACCTCTCCCAAGAATGAAGCCAACAAAATGACATGCACCAATTTTTCGTGAAGTGGCTGTTCAACATTTTCTAAGTTTTTTATTTGGGGTACTAAGGGCATAGACCCCTAGCTTTGCCCTTTTTGATGACTGGTCGTCATGACCTTTAGATAACCAGCTGAGCTTCTCGTGGAACCTTGCGAGACTGAAGTTTTGCACGACGCCTTTGTGTGTCAGAGTTCCAATATGCAAGCATGAAGCAGTAGGTGTTGTGCTCATTGCAATGTCAAGTTTTTTCAATGTGTCGAAAGCACCTGTGTGCGAGAACGTACGCTGAACCTCGAAATGAACACACTTCATAAATAGTTGTGCAGCAGAAGGAAGGTGGTAAACCAAACAATGTACACCTGTACGTGTCAGCAGTACATGCTTCTTTCTGGAAATCAGACAAAGAAATAAGCAAGACAAAATAGAAAAGACAGATATTGTGTCGAATAAGCAAGGGTTCTTCTTGAGGACGTAAGGAAATGTTTATACTAGTAAGGTGCACAAGAGAGCTATCACAAGCTAAGGGAAAAAAAAAAAAACATAACACCATCTCCCCCCTGAAAGAGGACCTTGAGTTCTGGGTCTCCACAACACGCTGGAGAAATTGATGGAGGCACAGACCATAGCGCAATATGAGCACCTTTCCAAAAGCATAACAAGCAGACACATACTAGAGAGTTCAGGAATTAGATATCACGCTCAGCATGGTGTCAAACTCGGCGTACCAAGCAACGTAAGGTATAGGCTGGTCACCCTTCCTTTGCTGAAGAACATGCGCCGCGAATACCAAAGGGGTAGACTGGAAAAGAGAGCACAGGACACAGAGAGGATGTGTGGCAAATGTAGAGGAGCAGTGTTCGTGGACGCGGCCAGGTACGCGCATAGGCGTGGCTTCGTGGCTGCTGTAATAGATACCAGAACGTTTGCAAGACTAGCTTATGGTACGCACGGAGCGCGTGGAGACAGCAGAGGAATGGCTATCGCGCTCGCAGTGGCCATCACCACAGCCTAAGGGGTTATCAGCGGCTCTCAAACAACAGTCCGCAACTTCGCCAACCGCCGCGTCTCCCGACGCATTACGAATTTTACTTGCGGGCAAAATTGAAAATAGGGGTGCTTACGTATTATGGGCACCCGCCCACATTTCCTCGCTCGCCGGCAAGGAGGCGGCGCACGGGGCGGCTTGAGGGCTTATGGACCGAGCCACCACCATCGCCACAGCCGCGACGTCGGGTGAGGAGTGGGAGTGGGAGGATCGCCTCACCAGTTTTGAGGATATTACCCAGCATTACAGATTGGCCAGGTGTAAACTTCCTCTACCACACCAAAAACTGTACAAAAGGCAGGCGGTCACGTGGCGACAGCTGCAGACCAGGACGTTTCCAAACCCGGTGATCTTGAATCTTTGTTACCCAGAGCTTTATGCGTCGCGCTGCGAGTTTTGTGAGGCCAGGGCAATCCTGGAACCCTGCTATGGGAGTGTGTAGAGGTGGGGCTCCAGACTGGGACGCAACCTCGAACCGAACACGCTGGGAGAGTGCTTTGCTCAGCCATTCACTCGAAGACCAACTGTGGGTATTCAGTGGGCTGAGGCCACCGCCAGAGCTCAAGGGCTTGTGACCGATACCTAGGCGGGCATATCTGCCCAGATCCCTTAATAACTCGCCAGACTTTTTTAAAATTAAATTGCGTTTCGTTCTGAATAATAGACTGATGGCTTAACACGTCAGGAAACATAAGTGGGGTTACACTTCATCACCAGCACAGAAGGGTTTAAGCATTACACCTTTGGCATCTTATGCAAGCCCTTGGTGCATTTATCACACTGACATTGCCTCACACGGATGTGTATTTGTCGAATAGAGCGTCTCAAAGCTGATGAATCTCAGAGAGAGTGGCTGGAGGAAGATGTTCATTTACCTTCCATCATCAGACATGCATGTATGTTTGTATATGTTTAGCTGGTAGTGTAAAGCAAAAAAAAAATCAACTCATCAGTACGGAAACTTAATACAGTCGCCGACCATTTATTCGGAGTCGACGGGAACCGCCAAAAAGTCCGAATAATCAAGAGTCCAAAAAAACGGATTCACTAAAGAAAAGCACTTTTATAGGCCCTATCGCCCGAAAAAACTGCCATGTCTGCACACACGCACGCTTCCGAGATGGTTTGCTTGGAAATCAGAAAATTCTCAAGCCACTTCAGACTGAGGTCGGCCGCCTTCTACCTGGCGAATTGTCTCCGCTTTCTTCGTCATCGTGAGCGTCTTGTAGCTCCCACGTTGGCCGCGCTTATTCACTCCCGAGGGTGCAGCAACGGGTGGCTTCGGAGCCATTTCAGCACGCCACGGAACACTCAGGAGAGCGAGAACACAGAACAAGACGAATCAGGCCTAGCTGCAGAAGCAGCTGGCTGACACTGCTGACACACGCCAAACGCCACAGCGAGCGGACTCTGTAGGTGGCTTGGCTTGGCCGCTCGACAGGCTAAAAAATAAAAAGCGTCGGCACACATAGCCTTCGAGATTGGCACTGGCAATTTCTGCGTGCATTTTGACACTAACCCGACATCCATCTATAGCTAGTGCAGCATATCAGTGCTGGCAACCTGAATAACGTATTGTTAATGTCGCTGTCAGCGTGTAATGGCGTACAGCGACGCATCCGGTCAGTCAAACGGAGTACGAATAATCGAATGGCGCACAGTGGGGCGTCCGAATTTTCGGTGGTGAGTTTATATTAGGATCAATGGGGAGAGTTGCGGTGGCATGAAGATGTCCGAATAAACGGGCATGTCCGAATTTTCGGCGTCTGAGTAAACGATCGGCGACTGTAGTGTTGGCATTTGCTTGAATTTGTCATGACAAAAGTGCATGTGACCATTACAAATTAAATCGAGCGTGCACAGTTAGTGCTTTGTTGTGTGGCACCTTACTGAATTGTTCCTACAACTGTTTTTTTTCTTGTATTAACATAGTTTCAATTCAGCCTGGGGCGTACCTGTAGCAAAATAGCGTGCGTAATCTCGAATCCAAGAACAAATGCAGTGGCGTTTGCTAGCCGTGTCATGCCTCTTGTCAATGGAAGACCGATTTGATTTGTAGAGAAGCATTTGGAAGTATGTGTGCGAGTGGTAATAGTGATTTCAGAAGTAAATGCTTCACTGAAAATAGTGGTCCTTCCTGTTGCCACATGCGAAGTGCCTGTTGCGAAGGGGGCTGTACAGTGCGTCGGCTTACTTTTTCCAGCAACTAATGGCACTGCAATTTTTTTCCTTGACTGAGTCTGGGTTCCGCATGTGACACTACTCTGGTAGGGCATGCTTTCCAGTATTTCTGGGCAAAACATAGGCAACTGCACTGCCCAAATCAGTTGTTGGCAAAATTAACAAACAAGTTGTCTGGGTGAAGCTTCAGTGCTAGTGAACTTCAAGCCACACTTTTTGAAGAGCCTTCTATACTGGTCTTCATGCTCTCTTCTACCATTCTTGGCCTACATTAGCCTTGTGGTGTCTTAGAATATGCCACTATCGGAACAACTGTACACAGTTCTTCTACCATTCTTGGCCTACATTAGCCTTGTGGTGTCTTAGAATATTCCACTATCGGAACAACTGTATACAGTTCAAGCTGTCATACTCTGATCGTGTGGGCATTAACTGCACACATAACAATGAGCTTACCAGTGTAGTCTAATAAATAACTGAAGTAACATGCCAATACAATGCCAGTGTGCCCGGAATGCGTCATTGTCAATGTTAAAATTGCCACAAAAGTCTGCGGGGACGATCTGCTGAGAGGTCGCTCATGGGCGTGACACCAACCCTCTCTAAAAAAAAAATTAGTTGCCGCCCCCTCTTGTGGGCTCGCGTAACCGTGCTCCTGTCTGCTGTAACCACTGTTGCCTCCTTAGCGCCAACTCTTGCTCAATGGTTTTTGATGGGCCCCTAAACAATCTCCGATAATTTAACATTTAAAGTAAATGTGCTCATCAAGTTTAAGGCAGCCACAATCGGCAGTGCCATATGCAGCAGCGCTATGAGCCCTGAGCACGCCACAAATTCCAAGAAACAATCCCTTCTATCTGCTGGGCCTTTTGGCCATTCATCCCCTCAGTGTTTGCCGTGATGTCAGCATTGTCGTCTGCTTGTGATTCGCAATGCCTGTTTGTCCGCTTGCAGGTATGTCCACTCCCCTCTCACCGTGAGCACTGAAACAGGAAGGGTAGACGAGACTGCGATGGGAGCATAGCAAAGAAAGAGTGGAATGAGCAAGAGCCTCTTTCGCATTGTCTAAAGTGTGTAACTCCACTATTTGCCTTTTCCATTTTCCTGTGCTGCCCCTTAGCGTTTTGGTAGGGTTTCGCTAGGCCAGGAGAACTGGCATTGCTAGAACGAAGGCTTCCAAGACAGGAGGCGTTTTATTACTTTTCTGCTAGTGAACGGTGTGTGCGCCGTGGCACCACGGAAAAAATAGATTAGGGCCGTTCAGAAAATTTCTTATGGCTGTGGGGTCGGTTGAATACTCGTGCGCAAGTGCATCACTACTAAATTTTCACTGCTGGCTGGTTTTGGGGTTTGGTCTAAGGGCGTAATTCGGTCTAGGGGCCCTTTACGCCAACTATAGCTGGTTACAACTTTAGAAGTAGGCAGCATTTTCTCCTCAAGGGCGGATGCACACTAGCCCTCATTATTGGGTGTGTACTCCAGACTGATGTCATGAGCTGGACGGCCGTTCACATTGCGTGCAGGGAATGTTGCTGAAAGTAAGAGCGGGACTATTTCTTTAGTTGCCGAGGTGATCAGCTGGCACACTTTGATCATCTGGATGGGGCCTCCCCCGATTTCTTAAGTTGTGTCAGACTATACGACGGTCACAGACTGGATTCTAAGAGAAGGCAAGCAGGTGAAGGGGAGACAGAAAGTTGGGTGGGCAGATGAGATTAGAAGCTTTTGGGTGAAAAGTGGCAGCAGCAAGCACAGGACCAAGTTTACTGGCAGAACATGGGAGAGGCCTTTGTCCTGCAGTGGGCGTAGTCAGGCTTATGATTATATGACACGAAGGCTCCATGAGGTGAATACATTATTACAGGGCGTATTATAGCCCCCTCTCACCTCCAGCCTGTAGAGGCACACAAGATGCACACTCATGCAGTTTTGTGAGTCCTAATGCCTGTGGGTACTCCGCTGTGGTGGTATTGTCCTCCATAAATGTCATAATAATTACAATGCCATTGTTTGCATAAAGCTTTTAGTGCGGGTACGCCTCAGGCAGTTGCTGTGTCATCACAGCTACAGCTAACTTGTCTTGTGTCACTGTTCCTGTGTCACACGTTTTTTGTGTGAGTGTCATTCACTTGTGATGCTGCCTGTGGCAGTTGGTTTGAACCTTCGAATGTGAAGGTCAACAAGGTACCTGAAGAATACTCACTTATTCGCTGCAGGGATGTGCCATTGGTGCCATCTATATACATTTTTTTTCTTTATCCTTCACTCTGCTGTGATATTTTTGTTAGACATACAAACA